AAAATACACCACACTATTAACTCAAGCCAAAGGTGATATATATAAAAGGAAAAAAATACCAGTTACAAAAATAACCCCTCCAACCTTTGTCTGATTCTCTTGAGGATATCAAGAAGCATCATCTGGTTTTGGGTCCCTACGTAGGTATTGCAATACATTCACACATGAATTCTTCTCAAGTTTGAAATGAAAATGTCTTTAGTAGTAATGCTAGCAGATTTGTGGATATATGAGATCACAGCAGCCCTTCCAATAACTCTTCATTCACCAATTGATCTACAGTAAATATATGATTGAACTACTATCTCTCAAGTCGCAATGTCTAAAAATACACCATAACATTAATTCATGCACACACACAAAAAGGCATTACAAACATATATGAAAGGGAAAAAAAATTATAAAGTTGACAATTCATGGAAGGAACCAAGCAGGGCTAGAAGTAAATATCTGGCCAATGGCTTCAAAACACCTGGGTGTTGGTCATTTAATAAGAATACTTCCCTCCTTTCATCATGAATAGAGTTGATCAGATTCAGGAATGGGTGTTTTAGCTCTGATTGACAGTTCAAGTACAGAGGGCATTTTTAAAGGACCCTGTGGTAAAATGGCTGGTCAATAAATTTGATAAATAAATAAAAAAATGAATAAATGAAATGGACTCCACTCTAGGTGTGAGCAAATGCATACCCAATTCATCATATGGAAGATTGACAAATTGTCACCAAACCAGAATCTAGCTAGGGAACCTATATGCGGAGGCAGCTTTAGTAGTTTATACGGACTGCTCGCAAATTCAAAACTATTTGGAGATTATTAATATTCATTGGCCTGGTTGAACTCAATTAAGCCCTTCCCAAGATGTTTCTTTTGTCATTTGTCAGAATTAATTCCTTATTCCCTGAGGACAAAATAAAGAAGTGGAAGACAAGGGAAGCAGCATGGATGGGTTACATCCATCCTACGCCTCCCAATTCTTTCCTGATCTGTAAATCACTTTTGGTCCAATTTTTGACTCAAAAGTTGCATTTCTACTTTCTCAGGAAAAGTCCCTGGAAGAAGATCTCAGATATTAGAAGACAGTGTCCCTATACTCTCAATACATAAACACTTATTTTACCATTTATCCCAGTGTTTCCATCAAAGGGCACGTTCTAAATAACACCACACTACCACAATGGAGCATTGTGCCTGGAAGTAGCATGGATTCAGGAAATACCTAGATATCCCAGAATCTTTTGAAATCTATGAATCGCTTTAGGTCTTAATTGCAGAGGCTAAGTAGTTGGCTCACTTAAGGAGAAGAAAAACCCTGGATCAGACCTGAGGTCTTAGAAGATGTTGTACATCATTTCTCCATATGTCAAAATGTATTTTACAACCTACTGAAATTTCCACAAAAGTATACATTCTAAAGGCCATCACAAAACCACAATTGACCATTCCAAATCTCCACTCCAGGCACAATATTGACACAACCCTCTTATATTTACGGTTAAGGACACCTGCAGATAACCATGTAGAGAATTACTAGTCTTCCAGAAAAATCTGAGTTGTCCTTATTGGGAATTCAATGGATAGACCTGAAAAGAAGCAGACATAATCCATGGTCCAGGATCTTTTCAAAAGCATTCCTCATATAAGGTATCCTGAGAAATATAAAGCTATCTATCCCACATGATTCATTGAGCTTTCAGTCTCAAGGATATCTAGATTGGAGAAGTAAGAATGAGAAAAGGGTTATTTCTTAGGGGTCCATTTTCTGATGGATCTACTTGACACTATTCCAAATGGTGGACTACAGAAATCATCAGCTGAACTTCAAGAACACATCCAGTGCATTTTGCTAAATTCAACAGAAACAAGAAGAGCACAGATAAAACTTCAGTAACCTGCCACACTTCTTAAACATAGTTTATTTATTATGAAGACTGACAATGCTGCAGATATATGAGTATTTTTCACATAATCTAGAAGGAATAAAACTTCTCATCTACAATCTCCCTGCATCCAGAAAGGAATCACTTCAAGAATGGAAGTTCTTGAAGGACCTGAGATCCTCCTAAATCATCAAGAGGTCCTCCTTTCACTACTCCGAGAAGGAATCATTGGTTTTTTTCCCCCAAAAGGCATGGGATTCAAGGAACTTGAAATGACCATGTTAAGGACACCGCCTGTTGCTCTATCTGAAGAACACCAAGAGAGAACAGATTTTTGTACAGCGTTGTATCACTGTGGTGGGTGTTCGGAGGAGGAACCCAGCTAACCATCACAGGTAAGTCAACAAATTGATCCCAAATCTTTCTTTCTGTGTGTGATATTTTCATTTTTCCATCTTTTTCCTCTTCTTTCCCTACTTTGACTCCATGCACTTTGATTTTAGAGTTGCTTTTGATTCATTCATGATGATGTTTTTTCAATGAGAACTGAACATTTAGCCCAGGTTAGAACAGGTGGATTCAAATCTATATGGTGTCATCTGTCCTGTTCGCAGATACACCTTGATTTTCATGATCCGGGTCAATGAGATCTTTAGAAATCTCACTGGTGGCTACTTTTATCCTCAGGTGTACTTTTTCTGTGGATTAAAAGAAAACAGGGAGATTAATTTGTATTGCGTTCTCTTCAATGGCACTGAATGGAATTGGCTGAACCTTTGATTTTATCACTCTGTGTTTAGATTTCCCAAATGGAATAAAGTAAGCCAAAGTATGACAAATTGTCAATTTGATCCTTTGTTTTATCATTTGGTTTAAAAAATAAGTCTCCATCTTCTTTCAGCCTCTGAAAGACAAGACAGAGATCTTAATCTTCCATCATCAAAATTACATCAATATGTTGGAATGTCTGATCAACAGTCCATCATTCATTTCAATGGAAATGTTACAATGATATAAGCATCTCTTAGATTGTGTGGATACAGGGAGTGGATAGCCACAACCATAGATTCAGAGGGGACCATTTCTCAATGGCTCAAATTTGCAGAAATGTGAATGAACCTACATTTCTTGATTTTAGAGAGGGAATCTTTTCCTAAAGAACCTTCAAAGGGGTAAACGAATGTGGCATGATTGTGAAGGAAACACAAGTGGTATCTAACCAATGTGTTGGGTTTCCAACTTTCATTTCAAGAAGATACACTGAGGTTTGGTCGAATTGTCTTTTCCTATTTTTTCCAAACTAATAATACCAACTACTTCGTATCAAACCATAGTTCTTGTTTAGTCCTCTCAAAATGTAGAAACTGGGATAAGACTTCAATTCCGCTTATTTAACACAAATAAGAAGCATAACATGCAAGTAAGGACAAGAAAGTTTCGTGTTATCTCTTTTGGAGATGTTTAGAGTTTTGCTGTTGTTCTCCCGTGTGTGTTAAATGATAAAAAATTTCAATCCAAAATATTTCTTTAAGAGATTAACATGAGCCATTAAAGAATGGATTGACTGAGAGGGGGAAATGAGTAACCTCTTATAAAGAGTAAGATGACTTTGTGAGGGACATAAGCAAGAAATGTTTCCTGTGGCGTGAATGTCATATGTATTCTTTTAATTCGGTGTCCTGGAATAAGGGGTTCAGAAGAACTGCTGAACGTTACTTCAATATTGGGAACCAACTCACAATGAGGTTTCCAATCATCTCTCTTCAAGTTGGAATCTCACATAAATTGGGGGTCTCTAAGATGTTTCCCCAAAAAGAAATCTGTTAGGTGATTGAACCGTGTTTTCTTTGACATTGAGTTTAAAAGGTGTTAGGAAGCTGTGGTTGTCATGCAACCCAGTTCTAAACATTTCAACCATTGAGTTTGAATGTTTCTGGAAAGTTGGTTTGACATCAAAGAGAGGTATAAATTCCATGAAACTCAACTCTATTTCTACCCTTTAATTCCTTTGTGCGGTAAAAATGCTTTCCTAGGAGAAGTATTCATGTTTCAGTTCATGTAGTCTGTACTATTCCTGCATGGAGAAGAAAACATCACTACATTCAGGAACTAAAAATAATTCATTTCTCTTCCTCTCACAGAAACTCACCCATGTAGAGAGAGAAACCAACATGGGAGTAGGCAATATGAATAGACAGAAGGCACTTAATTTCACATCTTCTTCCTGTCTTGGTGGACAATAAAAATTAATTAAACAACTCTAATTGGTACAGTAAAGCTATTTGCAAGCTGGACTTCTCCTTAAGGCAAGGGTCTTCAAACTTAGCAAGTTTAAGACTTGTGGACTTCAACTCCCAGAATTCCTGAGCTCACGTGACTGGAGGAGGAATTCTAGGAGTTGAAGTCCACAAGTCTTAAAGCTGTCAAGTTTGAAAACCCCTGCCTGAAAGCATGCTGTTGCCCAGATGTTCTTTGGTACAGCCTCCTTTGTCTTCTATAAAATGCAAAGTAAAATAAGATCGTCGAAATGTTTTTCTAAGAAGAATAATTTTGGGAAGTAACTCCTCTGTAGATACATGCATGTGTTTTCTAGGTGGGACCATGCAGGAAATCTTACTCTCATGTAAAGAACTTCTGGTTCACACAACTAACTACAAGAATTCTGGGGAGAGTGCTACAGTGGGAGATCAAATCATGATCAAATCAAAATCTTAGTTAGGCTCCAAGACCAAACAATAGGAATCTCTTTTGTCCATTGGATATAATGGTCCCCTGTGGTGTTGGGATTACCTGCTGAATGCAAAGGAAATCATCCAAGCATCTCCTCTAACTTTTTAATAATGTTTTTTTCTCTCCCTTTAGAAGTGGGTCATATGATTCTTACCATCTTACTTAATGTACTATTTTGAGAAAATGTTGCCTTGATATTTTCCCCACTCGCTCCCCCTCAGTCGTGATAAGGAAAACTATCTATACGTTTATCAATCTAGTTACTTGTTGAACGTTGTGTTGAAGATAAAGAAGCTGAGTAGAACCTCATGAGATCTTCCTCTCTTCCAGGTCAGACCCCAGTATCTCCTTCGGTGCAAGTCTTTGCTCCTTCCCAGGAAGAGGTCAGAAGCCCGAATCCATATACGGTCGTGTGTCTCCTAAGCGGTTTTTACCCAGGTGCTTTCACCTTGCAATGGAAGGGGGGTGAAAACGTGATAAATTCTGGAGTGGAGACCACCAAAGCCAGCAAGCAAGGTGACAAATATCTTGCCAGCAGTTACCTGAAATTGACTGCAGCCGAGTATGAAAAGTATGACAGTTACACCTGTGAAGTGACACATGAAAGTAAGAAAATTTCGAAGACTGTGTCAAAATCTGGAAGTTGTTAACTCTATCATGAATTCCTCTCCTGCCCTCAGGAAGGAAAAAAGAGTCCCTTCTCCTGGGCTCTCATTCATTCTTTCCTAAACTTAGTTTGATTGATGATATCTCTTTCTATCCATGTAGTTACACCCTTTTATCCCCTCCATGCCATCACCCTTCAAACAATTCCCCCCCGCCCCTCCTACTTTTATCTGTTACATTCTACTGTCAGCAATTAATAAAGATGGATGTATTTCATTTGTGTGACTGATTCATCAAATTTATCAAAATACAGAACTGTACAAGCTTTCCTATCTTGGAGGGGAAATGGTCTCTTTCCAAGAACCTATTTCACAATGGGGG